CTTAGAGATCTTCCGCGCGACAGGCTTGATTTCCCCGAAGTTCTAAAGCTCGCGATAAAGGCAGAGGCAGACGATTACAAGGACTTGGTGTGGAGAGAGATGAGGAGACGCGACTTCTCTCTCTACAATGAGTATGCCACTGATAGATGTCCAGATTTCAAGGACTATCCCTGGTCGGAGAAGAATGAGGCCGTGGCTGAGGAAGTGAAGGAGATACGGGATATGGTGAAGGGATTGACGAGGCAGGTTATGGAGATTGTGACCGCCACAGGGGTCACGGCCTACCGCGACAAACCTGGAGGGCCCTATTCGCTTCGCTGGGACCGTAGGAACAACGATCCCTGGAGGAGTGTCGAGGATAGAAATCCTCGGACGCTGATTGATTATCGTACGAGGGGGAGAGAGAGAGACGATGAATTATGGCGACGCGGGGACGATGAGATAGACCGAGACCGCAGAGATCACGAGCTGTTTGTGAGGGCAAGGAGGCTAGATGATTACCCCCGAAGCCCTCGCTATGAGGCCGATCGGGGTAGAGGCGACTCCTGCGGCCGATGGGGGAGGGACGGCAGATACGAGAGATTAGACCGGGATAGATATAGGGACGAAAGATATGAGAGGTCGGGTCGAGATGGCTACAGAGGGAGTAGATATGAGAGAGGAGATAGGGACTGGGAACGACAAGAAGGGTCACGTGGACGGTGTGAGCGCGGGGGAGAAGCGAGAGAGCAGCGCAACGAGACGCGAGGATGGTACAACCGAGGGGACCAACGCGATGGTTCACGAGGACACTATGACTCGAGGAACCGCTGGAATGACTCGCGAGGGCAGTATGAGCAAGGAGGGTCTGGAGAAGACCGGCGCAACGATTCGCGCAGTCGGAATGAGAGAGGGGGATATGGTGTCTCAGAACCATATCCAAAGTCGCCTGACCCCAACGCGGCCAGGAAATCGATGTCTAGGGGCGCAGACGACAGGGCGTCTACTCCCAGGAACTCATGCGTTTATTGTAGAGGAGAAGATCATATCAAGAGGGATTGCCCGGACCTTAAACGGACAATAGAAGAGGGACTTGTCGTGCTTGACGACCGCAAGTACATCAAGTGGGCTGATGATCTCGGAGATGTATCGATGTTCCCTTCGATGAAGGAGAATGTCGAAGCAAGAAGAATAAAAACGAGTAAAGGAATGGAGCCGGTCAGTGGCCAGAGCATCAAGATAACCTTTGAGGGGGACATGGCGACCACACCCATAAGGGTGGCAGCCACCAAGTCGGCGAGAGGGTCTACATCGAAGAAAACTGACATGGATTACGTGATGGCTGAGAAAGACGGGCAGCGGGTCGATGGAGAGGAGGTTATCCTTTCGCCGCGAAAGCGCGGAGTGAAGAAGTTCCTAATGAAGAGCTCGCTGAACGAGATTGACACGGTCGAGCCACTGAGGCGGACCCTTCGGCAACCCATGCAGTGCTCTATTCTGGAGTACCTGGCGGCATCGAAGCCAACTCGTAATGAGTTATAGATGATCACGAGGAAGACCCGCATACCTCTATCGGAGGAGGGTCAGGGGGCCCCTAAGGCGGAAGCTTCTATAKTAGGAGTAACGGGAGTGACCGCCAGAGCGGATCGCATGGCGACAGTCCTTCTCGATGGAATGGAAGGTGAGCCTCCAAACAAGTTTTATATACTTGGTAGCGAGGCCGTGGAGACGATTATAAACGATGGAGCGGTACTCGATGCTGTGATTGATAACGGCAGTGAGGCTGTCATCATAGACGAGGACCTG